GTGATACGGTAAATAAAAAGCCTTTTGTGTTGAAAAGTTAATACTCAGCAATATGGAATATATTTCATATTTATCACTTAATTTATTATAAGTTATTTCTTTCATACAAATTTAGCCTTTTTCTTGATCAATAATAATTCTGTCAATAAATTTCTATGCATAAACCAATAAACGTTGTTGATCATAAGCCTAATATTTCGCGTAGAAATAGCGTGGGGGTTTATTTCATGCTAGAATTTACATCTAACACGGCAATACGTCTACTATCATGTTTTTATTTTGCTCCGTATATAATAGTGGGAAATGCTATTGCTAAATTTACCATATTTCTTTTTTATGTTACATAATAGATCTCAAAATTTAGTATCGTGCAATTCTGTCATGCGAACAGTGGATCGTCGAATGAAGTCAGTGGTAAGGTCGAACTGATGTGATGTCCCTTAATCAATGACAATGACCCCTTAAGTCAATGTAACTAGAAAGCCTAATCCATGAATTCTATTTCAGCCATTTAGTTCATCAGCAGCCATAGTAGTGACTGACGCAGGTGGCTTACTTGATATCAGAATATCTTAGTTTTGACTATGCACATGTTAATCTGATACTAGCTAAAATGAAAGTTAGCAGCCGATTTCCATTGTGTTTACGTCACTTGTAATTGCTAGGTGATGAAGCGATGCATTATTTCAATTTATTTGTAGAATTTGCCCCTCAGAAGGGACTTATGACGCGTGCTGTACTCGTCAGATATCCTATGAGATTCCTCTTTCCTATGCGCAATGTTCCTAAACGCCCCCAAAGTAATGCCGTATAGCTCACGGGTATCAGTTGTGTTCGGACTTCAGGTGTTATTGGTTCAGGTGTTATGTCAGTAGCCTAGGCAGGATTCCTTGTACGTATTTCGCTTTTCTGTCTCACATGCACGTGGCCGATGTCTCGTTACAAGCAAACTATTGTTAGTGTCTTCGTGTCAGTTGGACTGTTGCTTGTCATCTGTACCTATACACACAGCTGTCTCTTTGACATGCTGACACTGCTTCTTTTGAGTCAATTTTAGCGGGATGGAGACCTTCCGCCTTGCTTCCTAGGTTAACAATTGACCTGCCACGCAAAATTGCTTGCAATTTGATGCGTTAGCAAACCATCCTATGATACTACTACTACCACTACTACTATACTACTACTACTACTAGGTACTATTACTACAATTCTAAGCTTACGTTTATTTTGCAGTTTTATTGTCGCCCTTATATTAGCTAGAATCTTCCTGCCAATTTACAATTTTAGAGTCCTCGCCGTCCACTCGCTGCAAACAATGGCGTCCACCGTCCGGTTAGATGGTGCCTTGGTGTCTTTTGGGCAGAATAATGGCGTCCTCGACCTATGTTGTGCCATACTCTACAGACTGGGTTGAAATAGTGACGTCATACTATTGCGCACCATACTATTGCCAAAACACTAGGTCTGGGCCATCTGGCGGGAAAATGTTAAGATCTAAAGAGAGACAGTGCATGTCAGAGATGATGTCACCCATTGAGAACATCGAAAAAAGTGTCAAAGTTGATAGTTGACCTTGCTCTACCAAATAGTGATAAACTGTGTAGGTAGAAAGAATATTATGGTTAGCAACTTTTAAATAAGTCTGTGAATATATTAGGAATCCTTTAAGTATACTTGTATTTGCTGATTTCAAGTGGTAAATAAATGAATAGATAATCAAGTTGAGCAAGGGTTTTAGACACATAAAAACTAATTCCAACACAGCTTGCAATTAGACACACACAGCTCGTTCTGGGCTGTGTATTCCTAATTAGAAGCTTAATAGCTCTTAATTAAGTGTGGCTTTGAAATCCAATTGGGAAAATTGGGCAGAAGTTTCCTAAAATTGCAAACAAAAACATTTTCATGGGTAAATTTCATAAATCAAGGTAAAATAGGCTGCTTCTTTTATTTGTTTGCACAAGGCCTTTAGAATGGGTGATATTGTCAAGATTCACAGACATTTTTTGCTGATTCATAGGACTCTGAGAGAATGCAACAAGGAAATATCAAGTTTGTAGAAGCTTGCAGCTTAGATACGAGGCTATAGCCATGACAGGAGTTTCATGACTTTCATCTCCTGTGAAGCTGTGACCATAAATTTGCAAATATATATACATGTTATTTAATTGGATTTGAAATGCAGCACTGAATGACAATTGGTAAAGAAAATAATTTTAAATTTAATAATAAACAATGCAATATCACAATGACTTTATCAAGATTATTTTATATACCTATCCTAGGTACGGACCGTACGGTAGGTACCTAGATTTTCAAATACTTTTAAAAAATTTTTCAGAGTTGCCATTAACAATTTGCAGTTAAAGCTTTATTCAAATCCGAAAAAATTAGATTTTATTATTATCTAAATTGTATTAGTACCAGAAACTGAAAAAGTCTGAAATAACTTGTACCTTTTTCTTATTAGGTAAACTCCGGAAGTTACGAACTCTGTAGGAAAATAGCCACCTTTCTACCTACATTCATTATACCTGTAATATGATGGATACACCTACTTTGAAAAAATTCGTTGGCTTTCAGTTTATGAACTTCTGCCTCTTCTTTCTTGTCATCTGAACATTTGGCCATATTTGGACTTCACCAGCGAAGGCTCCCGGGGATCCAGTTCAACAAGAGCGAAGCGGTGAAATCTTTCTTCGTTTCAGGTTGAAGAACACCGGATCATTTGGTCATCACTGCGATACACGCAAGTCCATTTTTGGAAGTTACTTGAAGCTTGCTGTAGGGTAAGCACTTGTAGGCCCTATTTATTGATGATTCAGGTAAACGTCAAACGAGTTTAAATTCAAACAGTTTTCGCTCTTAACATAACATAACATAGTGATGTCGGCGCTGATGTGTAAGCCTGATGTGGCCTGTCGCCGATTCTTTACCTTTTCGTGCCTTGTTCATAGATCTAAACTCGTGTCATTTGACCGGATCTTTTCATGATTGGCGATAGTTTGAAGTAGCTACTAGACTTCCACCGGGTTCGATAATGAGCTAGGCATTTCAAATCTGAACATATATTTTTCCATAGCTTTATCTAGTCTGTTCTTGAACGCGTTCATACTTGGAGCGCCAACGATGTCATAATAATAATAATAATAATAATAATAATAATAGCGGTTTCAGCGTTTATTAGGCCGTAGGCCTGTCGCCGATTCTTAACATCGCAGAACAGTCACAGCATTTTGCGGTCTCGAACTCGCAACTCGCTGCTACAATTCTGCTGTGCTCAACCGCCCGGCCTCCTTGCCGATTCTGACCAGAAACTGTCGCACAGAGCTGGGATCGAACCCGCGCCTCTCTGCGCCAATATCTTGGTACTCTGAACTGTAACCACTGGGCCACCCTGCCTCTAAGGGTGGGGAGGCTGTTCCACATGTCGGTGATTCGAAGCGAGAAGAAATTTTGTCGCGTGGAGAAGTTGCAGCGCAATTTTTTTAGCTCATAGCCGTGGCCCCTGGTGTTGGTTCTTGTTTCAAATTCTAGTAACCCTTCAGGGACCTTGTATAGACCATGAGTATACTTGTATACTTCAATGAGGTCCCCACGCAGACGTCGATAACTTGGCAACAAACAACTGCTTCATCGTTTCTGCATCTAGGAACTCGTATGAGCGTCTGATTAGTCCAAGAAGTTTGTTGGATGTGTTAGCTTGCGTTTCAACATGTTATTCACAGTTATTACTTGGTTAACTGAGCTTATCATCATTTAAAGTCTAATTAAAAGTTATATCATATAGCGCAAACCTAAGTGGACACTTCCTTACTCTAAAATCGCACAAAATCCCATCAATTCAGTCCAGGAAATAGTCGCATGGCTATTTTCCGGATAGATTCAGTAAAATATTTCTCAAATTAAGTCCTTATCACTGTCACATAGTTACAATTGTTTGCACAGGAACTCAGTTTAACATTTCCTCGTAAAGGTCAAGGGAACTTTCGAGACGAGTTTCTAATTTCCACACACGAGTCGTGATGCAATCTTCCTCGAGGGAATTCTGAGGGTTAATCAAACAAATAAAATAATCTCTACAGTTGTAGGAGACTTAAATCTGTAAATAATCTCAGATCGCAGAACAAATTAAAGTTTAATACACAAGTAACAAGTAAAATCTGGTACTCCATCATATACACAAAAGCATCTAATCTCTAAATGGCGCAGCCCAGAAACAAGAAATGAAATGCTCCAGCAACAATCAAGACACCTGGAATTGTTCTGATAACTAGCTCCGGGCTACCAATAACTGAGGGAAATGTATAAGCGTAGACGGCTGTAATAAGAAGCCACACAATAAAGTGCATTCCAGATTCATTAGTTGAATTTAATGATAATATATAATTTTAAGTAAAGAAGTAATATCAGCCCAAATTGATGACAAGTCAATAATTATCTAAAATTCTGATAATAAATTTATAAATCACAAATCAGGAACTTTTTGGAGTAGTTCAAGTTAACTTGCAAATAATAGAGTAAAAATTAGTTGCAAAACCACTACTTCAGGAAGCGAATTGCACCTCAAATTAAAAACAAAACAAAATTTGAAAAGCTCAATAAATTTCATTTAGGGAACGACTAAAAAGGCTGAGCGAAATTAGAAAATAATTGTAACAGGAAATTTATTACCCTGAAATATGATTGATTCTTATCATTTTCTAGATAAAAAAACGGAAAGACAGAATTAAGCGAAAGACCGATCAGAAGCAGAGACAAGGAGATCACAAACAATGAGAGAAGCAGACATGGAGAGCACAAACAATGACAGAAACAGAGAGAAGGAGAACACAAACAATGACCGAAGCAGAGACATGGAGAACACAAACAATGACAGAAGCAGAGACATGGAGAACACAAACAATGACAGAAGCAGAGACATGGAGAACACAAACAATGACAGAAGCAGAGACATGGAGAATACAAACAATGACAGAAGCAGAGACATGAAGAACACAATGAGAAAAAATAATTTCTCAATGAAATATTCTAATAATAACTAAAATAAAGAACCATACACGCGGTAACTCCACAACTCTCCGTAAAGTCTCGCGAAGAGAAGTGTACAATGCCTTGTTCATAATGAAGTGCGTAAAAACAATACGTTCAAAACAGCAGGACTTCATTTCCACGCATATTTTATGAGATTCAACATGAATATAGTAAACAAAATACACACTGTGCTTATATGCTCACCTCATCCACAGAGAAAAAGTTTTGTACAAGGTGTGCCGGCTAACTATGATCAGCAAATTATAGGTAACCATAAACTACAGCGAGAATAAGAGAAAGACTAGAAGGTCATTGCAATCCATAACCGCTAGCACTATCACGATGGCTATTGATTATCACGTATTTCTCCGACTAAGGTAACTTAATTTTACTCAACATCCACGATTTATTGTAATTTATGACAGTTTAAACACCGTGCAGGTCCCAAAACATATGTTAATTGCCGTCGCTCTGTAGAACAGAAGAAGCATTTAAAGAATTTAGTTAAACCGTTCGTGGCAGAAAACAATCTTTTTAACATTGATGATAGAACGGTTATTCAACTCAATGCAAATGAATTCCAAACATCTAGTCATTAAAGGAACGAAGGTGGAACGCGAAAATTATGAACAATGTAGGCGGAGAAAATTCTTTTTGAAATCGAAAAGACATGTTAAATGGTGCATATTCACCTTGTGATAGACGCTGGACAATAATGGAATTTATTACACTAAAGAAAAATGCCCAAAAACTCTAGCGGTTTAGCTCAGCACAGCATAATGATGGCGTAACTCAAACATTGTTTTGCGAAATCTATAACTCTAGTATCTAACATTAACATTCAACAGGATAGATTTTAACTAAATAATATAAATTTTTCTGCTATTTCCACTTTCAAATAATAACTTTCCGATATGGCAAGGAAAACGATATCTGCATTACAGAGTCACTCAGAGCTTACCAGTCTAGATATTGTATAGGTATATTATGATACAGAATTGTCTATGATCTTAGATCATTTACAACAAACAGTGTGAGCATATTAAACAAGAGTGGATATTTGTTCTTAAAATTAAGTTGATATAGTTCCGTTTTAGCAACAGAACGGAATACACGCAAAAATAATCTAAAGAAGTGCTCTTCGCGAATTCGTATGATATAAAGAAGAAACAATTGCCCATGATCTACAATTAAGGTTAACAAGAAGCTTTCTCGCTCAACTCCATGAAATTGCATGAAGAAAAATGATCGTATTTAGTAGTGAACAGACATCACACCAAGACATCGTATCCGAAGTCTGAGCCGGAGCGAAGACAGGCGTGATAGCGTACGAGTAACTGCCCCAACAACGACACCAAGAACATTATATTTTTGCGTTCAAAAATTCATACCACGAGCAGGGCAATACATTCAAAGAATCAATACCATAAGCTCAAGTGCACATCTCGCAAGACTCTATGCATCATATGGAAATAAATTCCCAGAAATGGTTAAGATTGTCCTGTAGTTCAAGAATTTAAATAGAGTCAATTTCTACACAAGCAACACTAACAGGTTTAGGGCAGGAAGAAGTATCTATGTTGAACTAGAGAGGCGGCGTCAGTTTAAAGCTACAATGACTGAGCTGACTTAGACAGACATCACCCAAGTGGAGAAGAGTGTATTCAAACAATATTTCCTGCGTCGTCAATATAATATAAATGTCTTCAGTCAAAAATAAGAATTACAGTGAAAGTCAAGGAGCTTAAAACAAATAAATTTGAAAGGAAAATAAAGACTAAGTAATAAATAGTGTAATTTGAAATTAATTATAAATTTCAATAAGAAGAAGCAGCTAGCTTTCAACGTAGAAATAGATTATTATAAGGCAAATTGGAAACGTAATATGAATAATAAATTTTCCCTTCAAGGACGAAAGACAAATTGCAAATGATGAGCTAGACTGCCCGGTAAGCAAATTTGCAATAGCCACATGACAAGGCCAATTGCCGGGTCGCAGGCACATTAATTTGTGAAGGCAGATGTGCCGCTCTCAGGCCTCAAGGTTGATGATGTAATCCTTGAGTCGCGGGGGCAGCGGCAGTTTAGGAACCAGAGGCGCCGCTCTCAGGCCTCAAGGTTGATGATGTAATCCTTGAGTCGCGGAGGCAGCGGCAGTTTAGGAACCAGAGGCGCCGCTCTTCTGCCCAGGGAGTTGTAGATCACCACGCGGCAGATCTGCTTCAGGGATCGTGGCTTCGTGTACAGCTCCCTAAACATAAAATATTATCATAGCATCAAAATCAACCTTCCTCGTTAGCACACAGGACACATATCCCTTAATTATTAATCTGAGAACAATATTAGTTTTTTAATAAATCAATAATGTATACGAACAACTGCTCCCTGGCAAAATAAATAAATGCAAACATCAACATCAATGAATTAATACAAGTGACATGCATGTTCAGAAAAGTCTTGCAATAAATTAAAACATTGGAATTGACAGCTTTTACAAGGGGCACTGTTAATTAACCCGCTGTCAACTTACGTTTAACTCGATTGACTAGGTCATGAGATGCAAAAATCAATGTAGACGATTAGTGCATCTGTAAACATAAGGTTGATATTGCTACTGCATCGTTAGAGGGAACAATTGATCAAGGAAACTTATAAGACTCACCCCAATATATTAGCGAGAGGTTGTTTCATTGGCAGCAAGGTAGTTTGTCTATGAAGTATTTTAAGACACTGGTAGAGAGGTACGTGGTTCATGCTGTAGTAGTACAGGTACAGCAAACGAGCAAACCTTTGCTCGGCGTCTTTCAATAATTCTTCTTTGCGAACTAGCAACTGGACGTAGTAGTAAAGCACCTGAACAAAAAATAGTTATTGATTTCATTAAAGAACAAAATATTGACTTATGACTAGTTGTTAAGACATTTATGAAGTTCTGAACCGGCGAGATCAGAGTGTAATCACCTGCATCATCTCTTCAATTACCAATGAAATATTTAAGAACTGTTACCTCACTCGTAAATCTTCCACCGAACACATTTTTCCAACATTAGAGGCATAGTATCTTAGTATGTGTTTCGGACGTAGCACTGCGAGCGCTGCCTCTGACAAATACAGTGGCACTGACCTGGCTAGAGGAACACAGACGACTGTGAGTGACAAATGATGGGTTCAGTAGAGCTGAGTGGCACTGACCTGATTAGCACTGCGCTTGAGGAACACAGACGACTGTGAGTGGCAGATAATGGGTTCAGTAGAGCTGAGTGGCACTGACCTGATTAGCACTGCGCTTGAGGAACACAGACGACTGTGAGTGGCAGATGATGGGTTCAGTTGAGCTGATGCAAATGTTGGGGTTAGCGCCGTACTGCAGTAGCGTGGCTGTCAGCTCGTGCACGTATACAAGGTCAGTGGGAGACCGCGCGTTCTGGACCATGTCCATGAGGGCTAACAGGATATGCTGGCTCCGTTCACTGAATCTGTACGCATAACGTATATTTATGACAAAACTTGTTAATCGTTACAAGAAAGAAGAGCAATAATGCTTCATGAATTAAATTTTTCAACTTGAAACAGACCAAGCCTGGCGGATTTGTTTCGAGGAGCAAACTGTTAGCCCATTTCCCTGCAAATGATCACAAATGGTAACTCAAATTAGCGCCTCAGCAAGCGCTAAAATGGCACACAAACGGCTGAACTTAGCTAATAGTTCTAAGCTAAGATTCCTTAGCTAATCACCAATCCCTTCTCCTCAGTCGTGTCTTACATAAAATTGTCATTCACCAGCGGTTTAATCGTTAAAACCGAAATTGAAGTAGAAAAGCAGACACTTGTAATTGAATATATTTACGCAATTTCGGCTAGTAATATCAGTAACTTGATTATGATTACATATATTGCAACATTTAGTTAAGATTCGCAGTTTGATTGTAAATAATATATAATTTTCAAAATATGGTCTCTAGGTAAAATAAATGCATTAATTGCAACTTGCAACTTGAATGCCCAGAGCTGCAAAAAATGTCATGTGAGATTATACCTCTCAACTACATATTACTTCTTGTTACAACGTGAAAATTATTTCTACGCAATACTACATTATTTCTACGCAATACCGGTACTACATTATTTCTACGCAATACCGGTACTACATTATTTTTACGCAATACTAATTTTACATTTTCTATAGCAAAAATGATTTCTACCCACACGAGAGGCAATAAGGAAGTAAGCAAATCTCACCGAACGTTGGGATCCAGGCCGTGCTGCAGCATAATCACCAGCAGCTGCTGGATGAAAGAGAACGCCCCCGCCTTCATATCCTCTCTGCTGAGCGCGATGTTCTCACTCGCCGTGAACATGAGCACGTGCAGCGGCGTCAGGTTAGAGCGAGAACTACAGTTCGGGTTCGCACCGTTCTTGCACAAAATCCGAACGCAATTCAAATAGAAGATCTGGAACATAGAATTGTAAGATTTTTCAGAGAACCGTGAAAGTATGAAGGAAAGATCAGAATGATCTTTTTTTCGGATAAAACTATTAAAAATTATCAACTGGAAGTATGAAATTAACAATTAGATTTGAGTCATACAGAAGTTATGAATAAAATGAACTGAGTGATTAGTATGCCACAGGTCGCGAATAAAAATGAGTTCATTAATGACGCGAATAATACAATGAAAGCTCTCAACAAGATAGACACATAACACACACGCTCACCACGACAGAAATCCTCACCGGATGACGGAAATAATCCGTCAGGAAAAAATTTTTCAAATTCTCGACAGTGGCGAACCAAGTCTGGTAGTTCAACATTTGTCAACACAGAGACATTAGATGTTAATGCATACATATCAACGTACTATGCTCTTCCCCGTAGCACGTTCAAAAACTAATGACAAGATGAAATGGAAGAAACTCCTCTTAAGCCATAATAATCGCTATAAGTGGTCCTAAGAAATTGTGTTCGGGACGGGACAGAAAGCTTTGATGGCGATGCATGAGGTGAGAGTCCCTTCAAACGTCACTCACAGGTATCACTGGCATTTGGTGGACCTATGGAGCTGTCAACAGCGTTATGCAGTCTTCAGATGACGGAATGTTGCATGTGAATAAATTTTGTTGGTCTTCAGTCATAACACTGAGTAATGTTCGAGTTGAAAGTAGTTGCTTGTGACGGGCTAGAAGCTGAGAGGCGCTCGGAGGAGATAGAGCCGTTGTATGTGCTCTTTGTGCATAGACTAATGATGGATGTTATTCGTGATGCTCGGATACAGATCCTCGTAACTGCGTTGTGGATTGGGTACAGCATGTCTAGAGTTGGATGACTTGCGTATTGGTTAAAGGTAGTTATGCAGCCTGTCTTAGCTCTGAGTACTCTCAGTAATAACGGCACTGAATTAATCGGTCAGGTCTCCCATGACCGAAGCAGTACTCACAAAGAGAAGCTAAAACGGACATCGATGCCACTGGATCTGTCAGTCCCATGTTGAGACGAGGAATTTAACAGCGTGGATTGTTAGTACAATTACAGAATTACACTGTTTACGAACAATAAGGTAGTTCAAGGAGCTGTTGCGTTTTCCAGTTATTTTACTAATCTGTCCCCTGACTATGCTCTCCATTATCTTCCTACAAATGAAAGGTTCTGCCACAATTGCACCGTTCACCTTCACCCTTGACTGGCTGTTACCAAGTCTCTCTTCTTTTTTGTAGACTCGTCGCCATCTTGCGAACCATCCATCCTTTGGTAGGGTTGGTGTTAAGAGTTTTTATGTAACGCTGCTTCTTCCTGGCTATGTCGTTAATATTCTGGGCCATGGATGATCTGGGCCATATTTCTTGAGCCAATGCAATTTTGTCTGCCGTAATGCAGGAGCGCTAGCACAAGCACAAAGCCAGTTTCCTATCCAAGTTGGCGCATGGGCAGTCATCATCCCATCAAAAGCATCAGTGATGGATAGTTCTATCTTATGGCCACGGGCTCGCTATGCTCGCAGCCCATCTGAGGGCGCTTGCAAACGTTTCATCTCGTCTCGTAGTTCCTTCATGCCAGTAATACTCTCTCAAGTCTGCCAGTCAGTCATTTTAATATATATTGTGCTGTGTGGTTCGTGTAGCAGCATCACTGTCTTTTTTATCGGGAAGAAATCGCAACCATCGTCCATCAGCACCCACCGAAGAGCAAAGGCCAAGGTCAATGGCTGATTAGTGCCCGACTATGTGTACCTACATGTCATCGCCTGTAGTTACAATGAATAAGTCGGAATTTATCAGCAATTGTTTCGTGCTTCGACTGCTTTGGTCATTCGCATATTATTACTCATAGGCGCGTGTTGAAATCACCGACCATCAGGAAGGGCCGCAGAATTTGTATTTTGTACCGATACCAATCTCATTCTAACTACAACAAACAGAAGGCCATTTGGTACAAGATCATTCACGGAAACTTCCTGTTTTGTATTTCGCGCCAAGCAGCCAAATAATGTAGGAAAAGGGCGGAAAGCATTTCATATGAAGGGCAAGGTCATGAAGTTTTGCGTGTCGCCGAGTCAATTGCCACTATGCATTGGACAAGTGAGCAGCGTGCGTTTGCTGTCGAGGCGTACTTTTCTAATGGCCGTTCCATTATCGCTACTCAACGAGCATTCGGTACTCGGTTCCGTATTCGTCCTTCAGGACGGGTTCCTGATCGGAAATCGGAGAAAATAAGGAAATTTCCGTGAATCACGATGTACATAGATGTTCCAGATAGCGTATATGGTACAGACAGTAGTTGAATTTCTCAGTTGTCCAAGAATGGAGTACACCAACCTTCATGGTGTGCGTGAAGTGATGCAAGGGGTCCTTGTTGATGAGCGGCACCAGGCACACCATCAGCGGCACTGAACCGTCGCGGCCCACAAGGTTGGGGTTGCCTCCATTCGCAAGCAGCATGTCGAGCAGCTCGTACCTGCGGGAACAAAAACATTTCAATATCGCTAATTTCACGAAGTTAGGGAATTAACACTATTTACTTCTACATGTAGATGGAAAAAAAACTGTCAGAATTTTTCTAAGTCATCAATGAGTAGGAACCAAAATATAATCTGAGAAGTCAGATTATATTTTGGTAGTAATATTTATATTATATTTTAGTAATAGTAAGCCACACGAGATGTCGGCAAATACGTATAGAAGGATCCGGTTTGATCAAACCTCAGCCTAGCCTTTATGGAAACTAAAGGCCGCCATCAAGAGCATCACATTAACTTGGTGCTTCACAGTTGCGGTAGCAAACCTACGTAGCCTGAATTTATCGGCCTAGGACATCTCATCTTCCTCGGATTCACATGAAGTACTGTAAGTATGGACACTAAACAGTCACTTCACCTATCTCCTTGCCATCCATCCATGTATTCAAAGTACCCAGCAGGCAAACATTCATCACATATTGCCTACACTGTGAACTACGTACTGATAACAAAATGTATGTGTCTACGAACGGCCGCCGGCACATTCAAACTATGGTCGCAATCACATGGTTACATAGAGTTTTTGTTGTTAAGATTTACGATGTAATTCAAAATGGAAAGAACTTTCAGTATGCCAAACGAATTGTTAGTTAGCCTAAACTTTGTGCGTGTCTCGTCGTATGGCTTAAGAAATGGTTGCTATACGCACATTCAAGTTGTTGACAAAGTAACCGTTTCTCATTCACAAAGAAGAAGTTGCCAAGGTTTGACGAGATTTTTATCAATGCAAACAATTTTTAGTGCAGTAGTCCCGAGCAAACATTAGAGCTCATATAAGGTCACTAAACTGTTGCCGCAGAGATCTAGTTTTGCCTGCTAACCTGAACTCCCAGTCTTTGACATGTCTGAGGACGCTGGCGAGGGCAGAGTTGCCGGGCTGATTAATGCTGGCGCGGGCGCCGTGCTGCAGCAGATACCGCACGATGTGCAGCAGCTCCCACTTGTTCCAGGGCGGCGGGTCCTGGTTGTATCCATAACGGCCCTCTTCCAATGCATATCTGATAAGTATAATATCAATTTCAGTATCCAATATTCAATATTAATATTAAATTTTCACAAAAGTAAACCACTTTCTCATAGTACTTTAAACGTGATCTACTTTTGACTTTGATCCTCGAAAAAGCAAGGGATGGTAAAGCCATTGAAACGTACCTATAAGTAAACGTGACAAGTAAGAGTAAGACATTAGAAAGAATTGAATAGAGCAGTAGTCAGGAAGTATTACTTATATCATCGCGATATTGGAGCCGCACAAACTCGTTCCTAACCAAAGCTGTTTTTTTTTCTCTAGAAAATTTAAATTAAGTCAAGTTAAGTGGCAGCTCAAATTAAGGAGGAGTTAAGTTAAGGAGGAGTTAAGTTAAGTCAAGTCAAGTTAAGGTCGGCGAAACTCGAGTTACGCATCGCAGTGATTCAAGAAAAAAAAATTAAAAATTTTGTCAATTGGAAAGCTAGAAAACACATGTTACAATTAAATTCTATTATCATTAACAAGAAGCAAAAGTATTTTTAAGAAGTTATTTACATTTTTACTTATTGCATCGTGGCTACATTCAACTTCAAGACAAATAATGAAAGCAGTATATACCTGACAAAGAGTGCGTGTAGAGGCGTGTTGCCCAGGGAGTCAGGAGTGTTGATGTGTTCCTTGAGGCCGTGTTGCAACAATAACTTCACCGTCTCCAGCGTGTCATCGGCACTCTTCTTGCCCAGGAGAAAAACAACGTGAAGTACCTAGGAAAAATTATAACTCAGTACTCACTGCAGTGAGCGACAGAGAGCGCATTTTCTCGTCGACGAAAATGTGAAGTCACGGACGGACGGACATGACGAACACAATAGCATCTTTTTTTCATAAATGAGAAAATGCGCTAAAAATATAACTCAGTACTCACTGCAGTGAGTGACAGAGAGCGCATTTTCTCGTCGACGAAAACGCGAAGTCACGGACGGACAGACAGACGGACGGACGGACGGACATGACGAGCACAATAGTGCATTTTTCCATAAATGAAAAAATCGCTAAAATGGAAATAATGTAGTTATCTAGAGCTCACAGTCATCTGCTGCGTGGAGGTTCTGACGGAGGTATCAGCCCCCATGCTTATGAGGAGCTCGAGGAACTTGATGTGGTGCAGCGCTGCCTGGTGGATGGGGTAGTTCTCGTCACAACACTGGTTGATCTCATCTGGCCTGGTATAAATAGGATTGTCATGTAAGTCTGGGTGTCTAATGTAAGTCTGGGTGTTTAATGTACCTACTCAGGAGACATCAACTATGTCTCCTGAATACATTCTATGTGACAAAAGAAACAAGTATCACTGATAAATATAAAAATATTATTATCATATGTGCATATGCAACGCACGCCTGGGATGACTATGCTAGTATGAGTATCAAACGCTTACGCAGGACACCTAATTTCAATATATATGTCTTCATCTTAGGCAACACCTACCTATATTCAAAATAATAGACACAAGGACAAAAGTTTACTAGCTCGATGGAGTATGAAGGGTCAAGACGCCTATCCCAATTTCAATACAAAAGCGTCATATATCGTATCGTATCGTCATATATCATATATTTTGTTGGGCTATCCCAACAAAATATTCATTTAAGTATCCCAATTTCAACACAAATTTAAAGTCAGATTCCAGAATCTCTGTGGTTGGTTTAAACGCCCTAGTCACAGCCTCAATGTAATTTTATGAGCAAAGACACGCGTCAGAAGACTTCCCTCAGAGATTCTCAATCAACACAATAAAAAGACCATACAATGCCGATCCTGGATGAAGCGCAAATACAATTTAAACGTATTCTTGATTATCAACTTTTTTATATTTTGTATTAAATTCCATTTAAACAAATTTATGCAAGAAACCGTGCGCAATCAAAGAAAAAAAAATGTAAGATTAAAGTTTATTGAAGGAACAACACCAGTTGTGCTGTCAGAAAAAAATGTATTCGTTTGAGCAGTCAACTGTTACCGACCTACAAAGCAGATTTCGGTCAGAAGTAAACATGCCTGTCTTAATACTAAAAGTTAGGACTATACATTGAGATAAAGATTGCATCTTATAAAAATGCCTGTCTTAATACTAAAAAATAGGACTATACATTGAGATAAAGATTGCATCTTATAAAAATGCCGGTCTTAATACTAAAAAATAGGACTGTATATTGATATAAAGATTACATCTCAGCCATGAACTGCACAATGACCTGCCATGAGCAGCACTGACCGCTCGGCAGTGAGATGCCTGACGCAGTTCCAGGCGCCGCGCTCGCAGGCGAGGTGCAGCAGCGGCGTCTTCTGGTGCCACGGCAGCCAGCGCTCGTCGTTCTGCTGCGTCAGCAAGCTAAGGATGTTCACCTACAAAGAAGTGAACAGGTTCAGCTTCTGAAAACTGCTGAAAATATGTTCATTGTTCAACGTTCGAAATAGTTATTTTGTCAATAATTTTAAGAATTAAAACGGGAAATGATCTCAGTATTTTTAATTATTTTCATGATGAGAAAGTAATAATCATACCTGGTCACCATCAATGGCATAATATATAGCGTTTTTAAACTTGTCACTGGACCGGTCACATTGTGGAGCCACGTCTGGAGCGCCTGTAGAACAAATTTGGTCATGTTATTAGTTATACCTGTTATGTATCCCTATTGTATACTGTATTATATTGTACAGGTAATTTGGAATCGTATTTTCTGTCCAAATTGATCCCAGAATTAATCTTAAAGTTTAAAATAAAATACCCTATTAAATTTTCATCGTTTTTTTTTTTGCATTTATAGTAATCAACAACTTGTACAGGATTTAATTAGTGTCCAAGGCGTTTCACGTATAGGACTGTGTTGCCGAGGCAGTTAACAAAACGAACGTGGTTTTCTCCTTTATTGTTCTTGTAAGAGCAGTGATTAAAACCCAAAGGCAATACAACGAGTAGAGAAAATGAAACATAAACGTTAATTGGCGACGCCCTATGCTGTGCTGGTGGCTGCAGCTCATATGGCCTGTATCCTCCGCCCCACAAAATGTTGCCACAAAAAAAAACTATTTGGCTCCCGTCTGACCATGTCATTAAAATCGTTTTACTAGCGAATACGTGACAATTAGTGTTAATAATATGATAATAATATTTTCGTAATATTTATGGACGATAAAGATATAAAATATACAGTACATGAACATGAATAACGAAGAATGTAAATATGTAGTTGACCATTTAAATTAAAAGCTACAAGACTTTCTGCATTTTTGCCTCCCCATTTCTTTACTTGAACACTGGCCGAGAAGTGAATAATCAAACCAGGAAACTCCATGAACTATATCGAGCTTCTTGTATAGAACGATCGAACAAACCATAAAGCAATCCCAATGTACATGACTTCCCACCAGCTTCTTGTACGAGTATAGAACAAACGAACAAACGAGCGATGATGCAAGCTCACTGTACTATACTAGACATCACATGAAGCTTCTCGTATCAAACAGACGAATGATAGGAGCCACAGCTCACTGTACTCACTATACTTGACATCACATGAAGCTTCTTGTATCAACCGGACAAAAGATAATAGCCATAGCTCACTGTACTCACTATACTTGACATCACATGAAGCTTCTTGTATCAACCGGACAAAAGATAGGAGCCACAGCTCACTGTACTCACTATATTTGGCGCGCTGTTCACAGTTCTGATTGTGAGGTCCTGGCCAGCACATGCGAGCCTCGACGTCCGTACGAGCTCCAGCTCTCAGCAGCACCTCGACGCTCTCCTCAAACCTGCAGCAATGGGGCACTTTGATTACCAAAAAAGAAAACAAAAATAATGCAGAATTTACTTTACTTGTTAAAACACAAGTTTTCCTCAAGACTACCGTATTTATTTAATAACATTGGAAAAGCTCATTCTTCCCAGTTCTTGCATTTAGTTCAACATAATATTGCAGTCGGTATACTGAACTCACGTGAGTATCAATAACATCAGTAAAATGCAATAGTTTCTACTGAACCTATTACATTAATTACAAAAGAATGCTGCAAAAAAAGTCCAATTTACCAAGACCACTGACAGGCAAATTATGCTGCTAATAAAGAAAGTTAGACAGGCCTTGAATAAAACTTTATTGCAGGCATCCTTCATATGTCAAGGCAACAACAGATATACTTCAATTGTGTCTAATTATATAAAGCAATGTGCCAAGTGCACGTAGCATACTTGGATATGCTTTACCCCATATGTGCCGTAAAGCATATCAAAGTCTTTACAAAAATAAAACATATCATTAAAACTTTCAGAAAAATATGAATATTAATTTTCTGTAAATATAAACACAGACCCTCTGAGACAGGCGATGTGCAGAGGGAGAGAGCAGACCCCTCTGTTGACATCCACATTACGGGTGAGTACCCAGCGCACCATCTCCACATTGTTAATGCCAACCACCTTCTGCAGGAGGTTGTAGCCTTCCTCGTTGTAAACGTAGAGAACATTTTCATTCTGAAAATATAGCACATGGCAGCATGCAGTCGATTGCTCAAGCAAATTTGTCCCTATAGCTAAATTTAATATATCTCATTGATTGATTCCTAAGACTTATTACTTTACTTGCACATTAGCAGCAGATGATTTAAAGAAATTAAACCCAAATGTCAATGAATTTGTAAGGATCAAGCCATTTCTAGCTAACCCTAGAGTAATATTTGCATCTGCAGTCATAGTCTGTGTTCATTAGCCGGCCATCAGCCACGCTTGCTCTGGCCGCCAGCGCCATAGGTTAGTAACTGAAAGTGTTGTCTTGATGGGAAATCTCTTCACTTGTCTTGCCTGTGATTATTATGTTCTGTACCTTTGAAACATTTAAGGGGCCATGCTGATCTCTCTTGTGTCCATTCCAGTTCCGGTTGGGGAGACTATCTACTATCTGACACATCAGTGACCCGAGTTAACAGCAAGACTATCACAGCCGTGTTACCAAGTAGGCCTATGGAACCACCATTCGTCTGTGCCTCTACCCGCCATCTGTGAACCAGTAGTGTGGGCTACTTCCAGTTGTCCGTAACTCTAGTGCCAGTCGTCCGTAACTCTAGTGCCAGTCGTCCGTAACTCTAGTGCCAGTCGTCCGTAACTCTACCTCCAGTCGTCCGTAGCTCTACCTCCAATTGTCTGTAACTCTAGTGTCAGTTGTCCGTAACTCTACCGTCAGTCTTCCATAACTGTACCGTCAGCCATCTGGGATTCTCCCGTTGGCTAACTGCACTCCTTCATCGGATCTTGCCTTGTTCCTAAGTCGAGTTGTCAATTCGTTTATATTTCATTAAAGTTATTATGTGATGCTTCCATTATTACACACTGGTTCGACTGATGCCGTTTAGCCTCATTGATACCCTTACAGAATTTTACAGATGTTATAAGATCAGCATTGTGATTAAATGTCAACAAAAATAAAGAGGAAATCAATAATTCAAATATCTACAGAAATGATAAAACAACTTGTAACCAGGGGCCTTAGAAGAGTGAAGAAAATTTGTTATTAATGGCGTCTGGAACCAAATGGTTAGGTCTGTGTAGCTGGGGATTGAGAAGGTAGTTAACTTCCTAAATAACATACCTAGCATAACTGGGCTGGTTGTTAACTTCTTAAATAACATAATAGAGATGCTTCTTAAGAAAATCCTCTTTTTGCATAGTATAAAAATCTCAAACAAAATTTTTCCATGTTAGAAGAGCAAGATTGTCATACCTTTGGTATTGTTGAAAGAAGCCCCTCAAGTCTTGCCACTGTCACTCTTGGGTTGGCCCTCAAGGCATCAAAAACTGTTCTGATGTTTTTCTTAGTGTTCTCTGACACAGCTCGGTGGTTGCTGGAGGTCAGCAGTGCTGTACTTGACTGGAAAAAGGATGAGAGCATCCCACCCATGATGACTCCTCGTCCCCATCCTGAAAATTCAACACTCTTTAGCTTACACTTCTCACAACACAGATCCAAATGTCATTTATGAGAAATAAACGTATTATCATGAAAAAATATGCATTAATTTTTTCACATGTTGCATTCAATTCTGAAAAATATTGAAAATTTGTACATTGAATAAACTAAAAACTAGCATAATATAGGGCAGGAATATAAAATACATGAACGGAAAATAAACTGGAACATGAAAAATACGGTAATAACAATTGTATATACAGTGGGGGGAAATAAATATTCGTACACTTGAAAAATCGTATTTTAATGTATGTAAGTACACAAACTTAACAGGAAAAGTGATTTAAATTATGTATAGAGACGCATAGTATTCAAAAACACTATCAAAAGAAATTAAATAACATGTTGCATTAATTTTTGTTGCATTGAGATTTAATTTCTATTGATGCTATTTTTGAATACAATGCGCCTCTATACATAATATAAATCACTTCTCCTGTTCAGTTTGTGTACTTACATACATTAAAATACGATTTTTCAAGTGTACGAATATTTATTTCCCCCCACTGTATGGTATATCAGACCATAATTTGCTACAAATTCGATAACATTGGTATGCACTGCTCAATCTACATACATAGAATACTTTGAACATGAATTTTCTACAAAGAAAAATAATAGAAAGCCACAGAAAATAAAGCAAAGTGAAATGAATTTTCAATCATGATTTTGTAATAACAGATAAAGTAACAAAAATCTTTTACTTTTTGAGAAATTGTAACTTGGAATCAGGAATCTCAAATGATGCAAAAAATGCAATACTGTATTAGTTATATTGATATTCATTTCTTGAACCTTTACAAAGGAAAGACCTATATGGTTTAGAATCAGACAGTACAAAATTTTGAAATTCAAAATACCAGTATACTTAATCATTGCCTAAATTAGCAATAAACAGGGGCACTTTAACATTGCATGCATATTGAGTTTTTACCCTCAGTTCAATCTTTCAAGCTGATAATGAATAAATTTTGAAAGAATTTTCATGATACCCAATAACTATTTTGTCAGCCTATTTCCTAACATTTGTACACAATCAATCCTTGGCTTAAGGAAAAGAAATTGAGCATTAAAAAATTGAATGCATACTTTTTGCAGAAGTTCTCAAATACACTAATATACACTAGCAAAATAAGTGAATAAATCTTGATGGAGATATTGGGACAATAACAGAACTCAACTCACTGTAGTATCTTCGGCAAACATATTTCTTCCGTTTGCAGTACTGAGATTCGCACAAGCATGATCCCATGCAGCTAATGATTAGCTCAGAGAGAACAAAGTTATGTCCTAATGGTCACTTTTGCAAATACTAAACTGAAACAAAATTAAAATCAAATTTTAAGATAAATCAAAATAGTAAAATATTACTTTACTTCTGAAATAACTGAAAATCAATGAAAAAAATCATATGCATTCTAATAAATTAAGGCTTTGAAGGAATGAATTAAGGCTTTGAACAAAAAAACTATTCAAGCATTCATGAATTAATAAAAAATTTGGTAAAGTATTCAAATTTCAATCACTTAACTTTACCAACTTAACAAAAACAAAACCAAAAGACAATGATTAAATTTAGGATTCAAAATGGTAACAGAAAGAGACAATATTTATTAACCAGCAACAATTGAGCTAAAATTTGCTTATGCTTTTAGAAACAATCAGAATAATTTTATGAAGTGTTGCATATGTTACTGTTTCAACTGCCATATGGAATGCAACATCTGGTAAACATGTCTGCCATAGAATGCAGATGCTACCAGTGCTTGCTGAACTGCTTGCAAGGTCACTGCAGTGACAACTGAACTTGAAGCCTCTCAAGTGTAACAAGATTACCTAGTTAGAACGCAGGACAATAGCACATAAATGGCATAAGAATGAGCACATATGAAACTATCACATTCAAACCAAGTTGGAAAATGAACAAATTCATCATCAATGGAGAAATGATAGCTTTTTTAATATCATATGCTTGCCTGGACTAGTCAAATTGATAATTATCATATAGTATCCTAAAGCATGTTTTGGGTCACTAAAAGTCAATGCTAAGGCTTACAACTTCAAATAGGTACAAGTAAACCAAGGTATTATTATTTGTAAATAATAATGTATACGAATGTAAAGAATAACCGAGTATCACTAAAAATAAGCATGAAGCTTGATATGTGCATGTTTTTTGCTGGACTACCTTATGTTAGTGACTTTACAGTATGCATGGTTCCAAAGCACAGAAATTTCTTCAAAAAAAAAGGCAGTAGTAATTGAGCAAGTAATGCAAGACATGCTTTGGAAAATGTCAGCTGAATTTTTGAATTCATATTTTAAACATCTTGCACCAATTGTGCATGTCATGGGGAACAATGTAAATGGGATTACCACATTCTGCATATTTAAGAGACTGGAGTACGAGTTGTTCACAGCCTAGATTGAAATTTTTATACTTACTACTGAAATCTTGTGGCTCAAAAGTGATAAATTTTCAATATACAGGGTGCGGCGCGGGAACTTACTTATTTGAATTGCGCGCCACGTGGCGGCCATTAGTCCTAGGAAGGTGGCGCCATGCGCAATATGGTGCGCGGGCTATGAAGTTTTTCGTCCACTCAGTTCAGTTGCGACCATGCAGTGGTCGAGAGAGGAGCGCGCGTGATCTCGTCTGACAAAATGTATTGAACAGCATGGAGGTCACCTACAAGATGTAATATTCAAGAATTAAACTTGTAAGTAAACCCAACGAAACTTTAAATGTAGCTCTTTGTAAAAAAGAAAGAATTAAAACGCTATCTTTAATACTTTTTACTTTGTGATTTTTTTAAAAGAGTAAGTTCCCACGCCGCACCCTGTATTTGGAATCTCGGGGCCTAATAATGTACCTACATTTGTTAACAATTAGATAAGAAGTTATTAATCTAATGGGAATACTGCAGTTACAAAAATGGTGGGAAAGCTTTAATTGCTACTCTACGTCTAAAGGTAGATATATTGCTTGCCATTTCACAACTTAATCCAAGAAATTCTTAGCACTTATGACATCAAAACTTACCAGTAGGCTAGTTAAGAAGTCAAGCTTGATCTTTTGAATTTAACTTTCCAGGGAAAGCTTTCACTTCAAAATTTGAATGAATTAATTTTGTCCAAAATAAATGAAAATTAACCTTTGTATACAAGTTTCTATCATAGTTGGAATATTATATAAAGATAATAATAATCATTATAAATTATGTTCATTATCAGTTAGGTTTAAAATCTTTAATTGATAGTAAGAGCTCAGAGCTGACTTAAAAAACTAAAATCTATCAGCATAATCTGTTGAAAAAATTATTTAACATTAGCACTATTCGTCTTTTTACGTTTCTTTTCAGGGACATGGAATTGTTTTCGAATGCATAAATTTGCACACCTTCTTAATCTAATGCAACTTAATTTGATAACTTTCAAGTGAAGCAGTACATTACTAACAGAATTGCCCAAAAAAGGATTCGCACGGATTCGGTTGAAGTTCTTGGCACTTCTCACGGAATTGATGAATAGAATCGAAACATTGAATAACATCTGAATTTAGAATAAAACAATTGTTATAAATACTAACTATATTTATATCTTCTCTCTTGTCGTCTTAGCTAATAACTATGCTGACTGCTGCAATACAGGCTCATTTTACAACTACCATGGTGGCATGGTCAAGACTCAAGAGTAAAATATCAGACAACATGGTTTTCATAATTCCTAACATTTTTCCCTAACCTGCAGGCAGACGTAACCACTAACCAGGATAGCACTCAGCATAGCAGGATGCAATCCCCACCAAACTGGCTCTGAGCCTCTGTCTGGCCGTTTCTTTTGCTTTTCTGTTTTCTTGGCCAATTTTATAGCTGCTGAGCCTGAAAAGGCACGTCTAACGCAACAAACTGCATGTGTGTGCATTCTCTAGTTTTGGCATAGAGCAATTTAAAAAATATTTTATTTTAAATGAACATTTTTTAACAATATTTAGGTCCAAAGTTTTCTTTAAATTAAATCTGTATCTATAGATTAGGCTATTCTCATTATTTGCAAAGTGTTTGCACGCATTTGAACATAGTGGCAAACCCACTATGCAGAGGGTGGATGCAGCATCGGCAATATATGGATTTTTAAGCCCAAAGCGTCGCCGGCCATTTTAAAGATGCGTTGCCAGGTAATTTTTAATGAAAAGCCATTTACGCTGAGTAATGACGAACTATTTACAAGCCACGAACTTATTACAAGGTTGCATGCACGTGTTACCCCAAATAACTAATTTTACTTTTTTTTCTAAATAGTTGGCTGAAGACTGAGAAATATATTAAATGCAAGAATTTCAATCTAAATGTGTCGGCAAGATCTTCTGAAGGCGGAAATTTTGCCGATAATGCGTCGCCGTAGGTCTTTAAATCTTCGTTCACTCTCTGCACAGCATAGTGGCAAACCAGAGATTTTTTAGAATCAGTTCATTTTTAATTTCCTCATTTACTCAAGATTTTAACAGATTTCTTATGTTAGTTATGTATGATAATTCTGGTATCCAAGATACTTTACTGGTCTACTTATAGGACTCAAAAATGAACTTGAGGAAGAGTCTAAAAAAACTCTCTGCTTTGCCACTATGCTGCACAGTGGTGGCAAACCAGTGATTTTTTTAGAATCAGTTCATTTTTAATTTTCCCATTTACTAAAGATTTAAGCCAATACCGGTATCTTATGTATGATGATGCTGGTATCCATGATACTTTTCTGGTCTACTTATAGGACTTGAAATTGAACTTGAAGGAGAGTCTAAAAAACTGTCTGCTTTGCCACTATGCGTTTGAAAGCTAGCTACAACAAGACGCCCTCAAAAAAGCTAATAACATGGAATCAAGTCATGGATGTAGGTAGCCTTAGGTACTGTACATGTTACAGACTTACAGTAACATGTATCAACTTTTGCACAAGGCTGTTTAGCCTGTTTTGAGCTTTTATAAAATGACTATTATTTAAATAATAATTATATTAGGTTATTTAGGTATACAACAATATTTACAACTTTTCATTCAAAAATTGTATTTATAGATAATTACTTGCATTAATTGCAAAGTGTTTGCACACGTTTGAAAGCTACAAATGAGGCACACTTAAAAAAGCAAATACCATGCCCTGATGCCCATGGATGATGGAATGGATGTAGCCTACATTACATGCAATGTTTTTTGCATTTGGCCGTTTTAACTTGTATTAAATGAACATTTTTCATATAGTATAAAAATCTAAAAAAACGTCACATTTCTTATTCAAGTAACCAAAAACAACCCGCTAGCATAACCAAAAACGGACTTGCTAGTACTTGCTACAGGACATTGATTTTGAATTGTTGAAATCTCGCACAGATTAAAAAATTTCACGGAATAGCTCGCCAACGTCGGCGTCAAGGCCACTCATCTGCGCACTCTGATTTGAGAAAAACTCGGATTGGAAAATTTTTCTTCTCGGACTGAAAATTTTTTTTAGAAAAATATGTTTATGACTTGTAGCAACAAGATCAATTTTAAAACTGGTATCTGTCATGAAGGACCGAGAAAGAATTTCAACGAGTATTTCATGATAACAGTAATATGCTTGATAAATTTGAATTTTAAACGTGTGCAGAGGCAACCTTAAAAAAACTTCATTTTAGTTAGTCAATATGTTATTCTTGCGCATGGTTGAACTATATAAGGTTGACCCACGAGAAGTTCCGTCTTTCAGATCAGCTTTCTTGTTACGTCCACGTAGATCGAGAAACGTAAACAAACCGACGGATTGGTTGAATGGTTTGATCGCATTTCGGTGATTGGTTAATGCCCGTGACGTTACTGAGATCAGTGACGTCACAGGCGATCAACGAACTACATCCGCAAAAATGGGCTTCTGATGGGTCAACCTTATACTAGTTCAACCATGATTCATGCGCATTTGGCGCAAGAAATGCTTGTCTACTTTTTGTTCTGTGTCGGGTAGAATTTGAGCTTATTCCAATAAATTTCTACCCGAAACCAACCAAGTCGTACAACTGGCCATGCAATGATTTTCAAATTCAGTGTTCTTAAGTTACATGACAGTTTGGACGAATGCTTGAAGTTTAGAGCGGCCAAATAGTAGCATTTGGTTGTGGGTGTCAGGCGCTTGCAGCCAACAATGAAAATTTTCTGTCGAAACAAGGTTTTAGGGCGGTTAAGCTGAACAAGATTGTAGCAACAAGTTGTGTTATAGATACCCTCAGATCGCCGTAATTATTCTTTGACATTCAGAATCGACGGTAGGCGTAGGCGTTATCCTCAAAGTTGGCACCAATATTATCATTG